GGTGAAATACGTCGGCATAATATTTATAATTACATATAATTAATTAGCTGCAAAATATATGAATCACAAGAGAGAAGATGCAAAGAAACGATACGACTAATACCAAAACTTCACGTCAAATTTTGCGGAAATATTGTGTGATAATTAGTCAATAGTAATTGAGAATAAAGTCTGATACATTTTTCTGCATACACTTAACTTCGAAACACGCCATGATGCTCAAAAGTTTCTATTCGCCACGCTATACTTATACTCAATTAAGATCGCAACCGCTTTATTTATAAAAAATGAAAATACGCGAGCCGCGTAAATACGAGCCGTGTAAATACACGCTGCGGATTTACGTAGACACGTGACGCACATCGAGAGGCAAACCTGTCCCTTCGTTTTCCATTTTTCATTGTCATCGCTTTCTACAGCTATGTTGCACTCGTTTGCTTGACGTTTTATTCACCTCTTCTATCATTTATCATTTTACCCTTTTTATCAGTTTACTATGATGCTTGTTTCGTCACGAAATAATCACGCCTTTTGCAGATGAATTAAATTACTTTATCGAAAAATATACATTGAAAACTTTTAGAAAAGATATTATGTATGATTGATTTGTTACGAAGTATAAATAATTCAGCAATTCTATTGTGCAACGGACGTTTTTAGTCGCATTTTCTATAGCTTAAATTATTCTGTTATCGATTCAAGATGAAGAGTCTCATAAACTACTTTGGCTGTGTATACTTTTGTTAATTAATATAGGATATTTTTTGTTAGATTAAACATCAATCTAAAGTCAGCGATTTTCAAGCATTTTCACGTGTCCATGCATATTCATAATTCATTAAGTTGCTCGCTGGTCCGCGTGATATTTAGAATGACGGTATCCCGAGGAACCGAGATAAAACAAGCAAGAAAGGATTTTATGAAATGTATTTGTTCTGTTACCGGATGCAAGTGACAAGTCAGCAAAAATTGCTTTTTTATCAATTTATAAGAGAATAACTGTGTGTGTGGCGGTAAATAATGCTATAATGGAGGATAATTCATATATAATCGGAGCTATTCATCTGTAATAATTAAATTATCGAAAATATGATACAAGTATATTTTTTGAAAGCTAAATTTATTTAACTATCATGGCGTTATAAATATATACCGAGGTTACCGATGTAAATTACACATATATAAGTTACGGAATATGGATATAAATTATCTCGGCATCCTATAAATTAAATCCGGGCAGGGAGAGAGGAAGTGGCGGATATGTGGTATATTCGTCTTGGCCGCTTGTCACATGTCGACACGGAAAAGACAATGACCTGTTCCGCGGTCTCGTGCGGCGTAGTGTCATTAAAGCGAAGCTCCTAAATCGAGCACAATAAATCATCGGATCGGAAGCAAAGGATACAAGCGCGAATGCCCACGCGCTTATTTTTTATTCACGCTGGCCTCTCTCCTCCGACAAACACATCAACAACAAAAAATTTCCCTAGGTTGGGTAAGCGTTTCAAAATAATAATTTCGTCTCATCCTAACTAAACTAATTATGTGCGGTACTAATTAAATAAACGTTCACGAGAGTAAATAATTGGAAAATTTCAGTACGAATGACACTTTAAAAAAGATACACGTGCACACATTGCACATCGATGTACTTATCAATATCAAACAGTTATCTTTAAAAATGCAAATTATATTATACCTCGTTAAATATCCAATAAAAAGAAGTACATAAAAGATGCAGAAGCGAAAAAAGTGATACGTGAAAATGCGGAAGAAAGAGATAGAGGGAGAGAAAGAGAAGGAAAAAAAAAAACGGAAGCTTGTCACGTTGAATCCGGTAGCGATCAAGTACGTAGGAACATATACCCTCTATATGAAGAGAGCTAGCAGTTTGTGCGAGGCGTTTGATGTGACATATCACATGACCGGATGCGGGGGTAGGTAAATTGGTCGGCAATTGCTGACGCCACCAGAGCTGCAACCTATCGGCCAGTCACTCGGTCGCTCATCAACCTTGTCATCACCTGTTGATGATTCTCGTTGCTGAATTCTCGCGCATCACGAATCTCTTTGGCGGAATCTTAGAAATCCGGCGCGTTAACGCGAAACGTCACTCTTCTCGTGATTTCGAGGAATTCGCTCATAAATCATTCATATTATCACAAATAGTTGTTTTTTTTTTTATTTAGAATAATTAAATTTTTTTTTATATACCATTTATAGTAATTAATTTACGGTGATTTGTTATATAATAATTTTCTCTTTTTATTCGAAAAAGCGACGATATATTTTTCGATTGCAGTAATAATTTAATCCCCTAATTCGATAATAGTGTAGTATCTCGCATGAGACGCATTTACAAACAGACGAAATTTATTTGCCGCGCGTTTATCGCATTAAATTAAATCTCTCTGCAAAAGAGAGCTGAATTTGGCTGTTTTATTTCACGTCGGTTAAATAAATTTTGCGGATGATTAATTAAAAGAACGGGCGGAAATGCAGTGGTTGTAATTCATGTAATTCTACTGAATAAAAACGACAACGGGGCGCGTAAACATCGGATAGAACGAGCAAATACAATACAATAAACGTAAACGCGTTGCACTGATAGGCTTAACGTCGCGCTTATCAGATATTTTGAGGAATGCGCGAAGAAAATTATGTAATAATTCTTTGATTTATCATAAGCGGTATCACATAAACGAGCGCATTCGCAGATATTAATATTCGTAACTAGATAGGCAAAATAAATACCGGCAGGTCATACAATTTCGAGACGTGTACAAACGTATTTGCTCTTAAAAAAAAAAAAAAAAACATCGCTTTTCCCTGTTTTGATAATACAGATTTGTGTTGTCGTGAGATTTCCAATTATGCACGGTCTGCGCGAAATTATTTATAGTCGATACACAATAACATTATTAATATTCAAATTCATCATCTGTCAATAATTATATCATACAATGTCCGTTACGAAATTACGATCCAAAACCGGTTTAGTAAAATCAATAGAATTGAATAAAAGAAAAGAGGAACGAGAAAAAACACGCCTAGATTTTCGACCCCGTGCATTGCGATCCTCGTTACGTCAACAGTTCACGTTGCGTTGTCTAATTGTGGCAATTTAATAATGTCTTAATGAACACTTACGACTACTGCCACGTGACAGCGAAGTTTATCCAGTCCCAGGCTCGGCTGTCTTCTTCAATATTCAAATGCACGACGGAAAATGACTTCTTTTGGAAACGCGATACGCGGTGTTGACTTGATACGGATTAAACACGGGCTTGCCTGGCCTTCTGCAAGACGCGTTTTGCAAGCAAAATATGAAATTATAAATATAACGTAAGATGAGATGGCACAATCGGAAATAAAATAAATCATACTCCGTCAAGTGATCCATATCTATATATAAAAAACACTATTTCGGTAAGATATCTAAAAACGCACATTTCGCATTTTCTCAAATATTGTTCTCGTATTTGCGTATTTCACAGCGGAAACGTGATCTTCATAATGAAAATGTTTACGAGCGACGACGAAGATTTCATGCAAGCGAGACGAATGATCCTCGTTATAGACAGAGGATGTGACGAATCATTCCGAATACGACCGCTTGAAGATATGTTAAGTTTACGCACATCTTGTTGGAAAAATTGCTTTACGTAGTTTACTTGTAAACACGCTGTTCTTCAATAAGACCTATCTCCTCCTTTAATCTCATTCTCTATCAATATACTTGAAAAAAAATTATTTTAATTCTGAATAATACTAACTGTCACCAAGTTTTTTTCCCTTCGATACATTTTTATGGCGAATATAATTCTCCATCGATGGAGGCTTTTTTTTACGACAGTGATGGAAAACGCGGTGAGATAATAAACGCGGGAACGTCACGTCTCTCGACATTTGGTTTCACGATATCGCGCTTAATCAGACCTAATCGTGCGTAATCCGCGCTCCGCCATTTAATCCGTTCGCGCCAATCGTTCTCATCATCGTCGGCAAATACTTCACGGAAAGACGAGAGATCTCGTCACGGAGACACGTAATTTCGTTCCGCGAACGGGACCGCAGAAGCTCGGCGCGATGCACAACCGTCACTGGGGCAACGCTACCAAGTCAAAGGCCAAGGCGACGTGGGTGAAATCCGATGCTAGACGAGGAAGAAATTTGCCGGCGACGATTAAGGCCGTTGTAGGAGCATTAAGCAAATCGTCATGGCTATGTTTCGCGCTATGAATATGTCGAAGTTATCCATTCGCGCGTAAAAATCGCCTCTTTTTCTTTTCGCGAATTTGCAAAAAAAGAAACGTCTGATTTTACTCTTTCAAGCATATAATAAGAGATCTTTATCATTAATTATAAATTTAATTTGTCGTCTAAAAAGATGAAATAAATTAATGCGAGTTAAATAATTTCCGTTTCACGGGCGATGAAAACGAGTAGATCGGTCCTCTGTAATATTTTTAACGATTATAGTCGCCATTGTTACGTATAGTTTTTTTTTTTTATAACATGTACTTCGTACTTAAAAAATACGTATATAAAGCGATCACTCGGTTCGTAAAATCAAAATTGCCCGCAACAATTTAAATTTTTTTACCATATTACACTTGCGTAACGATACATAACAATAGCAACATTATCGTTAGCAAATTAGACATGCCGGTAAGAACAAAGAGCGCAGAATGTATACTCTGTATACTTTTACGTCTCTCATACATTAAATTGTTTACGCGGTTATCGATAGTAAAAAGCAATTACTTGTCCTTTATCGAAGCGTCAAAATTAAAAATCGGCGCTCGGATTCTCTCTTACTTTAAAGCCATCCAAACAATCCGCAAGAAACTGCCATTGCCCACACGCAATCAGTACCAGACACGAGTGTCTCAAGTGCCTCGTTACGACGGAAACAGTCGCCTCGATGAACGAGCAACATGCAGTCTCTCTCTCTCTCTCTCTCTCTCTATCGGTGAAAGAGAGAAAGTCGAGTTTACCTCGGTCACAAGGGTACTGTCGTAGTCCCTGGTGTCGTAGTTCCACCCGTATCGGCACTTGGTGGTCGGCCAGTCGGGGCTGCTGACCGGCGGCGATCGGCTCGTTGACGGACGAAACGTCGTGGTCGACGGCAACGTGTCGTCGGTGGCGTTCTGCAGATCGTCGGCGTATCGCAGCCACGAATCAATTATCTCCGTGTAATTCACGTCGTACATGTGACACTTGGAGTAGATCCTCCTGCCGTCGGGCTTGACCGTGTAGGGCAGCGAGAGCGCCTTCCTCTCCTCCAACGACATCAGATCCGTCAGGTTCTCCAACTCCGGTATCCTGCACCAGTGTTCTGGCGAGGCACTCACGAACACCTGTTCCGAAATTGCGTGAGTCTAAAGTTTATGATTACTCGGATGTATATATATTTTGTTACGTTCGCATCTACCTTTCACTTCCTCGTAATGTATTGCCTCGATTTAGCGATATAATTTTCATTATCGACAGCTTTCACTTCAGAATGCGATACATTTGAGATGCTTTTTCGATATTTTATGAATTTAAATATCTGATATTCGTATTAATTTATTGTTTGTTTATTTTTATATATATTTTATCAAGAGAGCAAATAATTGAGTTATACATATTAAATTTTCGTGAAATTTTTGTGCCTTTAAACTGTACGCGTAATAGCAGTAATTATTTTATTTGTTTGCAAAATTGTTTACATAATTTAATATTGCGTATTTATGATATTGATTATACGATCGACGTGCTTCAAAATCTACCAATTGAATCTATTTATTTATCTTATTCATTGTAATTTCGCGATTTACGTTTTTGCAAAATATAGATTATTGTAAAATTTTTTAATATAAAGTGTATATTAAACATTTTTTATTTTTATCGGCATATTCATCAATAATTAAAAAGACACCATTATCAAATTTTTCAACAAATTAGGAAATATATAATAATCCAATTATATTTATAAAATCGTGTCTTATATAGAAAAATATATTCATACATTCGGAAATTATTTTACTTGAATAAAAAACAAATTTATTAAAATTGTTCATCTTGAGTTTCATTCAGCATTTTGCTGTTATTTGTACGTTGTATCAATCCCCGTCTCAGCAACGACCCTCGAATCTCCTGAAACGAAGCAACATAACAGGAGTGACACGCTTACTTGCGAGAACGCCAGGAAGGCGGCCGGTAGGGTGGCGGGTATGCACAGCAAGTAGTACATGATGTTCTGGTATCGGCCCTTCTCTCCCACGTGTACCAGCACCTCGTCGAAGTCGATCGAGCTCATCTTTCCGGCGGTGTCTCTGCGACTCTGCCGTGTCTCAATCTCAGCTTCACCACGACGACGACGGCGATGACGGCGGTGGTGGTGGCGGCGGCGGCGGCGGTGGCGGCGATGACGACGACGGCGACGATCGTGCACGATGCGACGGTGGCGTGGTACACCTTCGAATTACACGGCATGACCGCCGTCGCTCATCCTCGAAGGCAGCCACGCCAAATTACAAACGCACGTTTCGCGCCCGTGTTTTCGTACGACCGCGCGCCGAGGAAGTTTCTTCCTCCTCCTTGGCGCTGCCCGCTCTCTTCTCGTCACCTCCACCCCCGCCTCCTTCTCTTCCACCTTCTCGTCCTCGTCCTCCTCTTTCGTTTCCTCGTCCTTCTGCCGTCCCTCTGCCGTCTAGACACTGGATTCGATGTTACCCCGAGCGTGTCGAATCGGGCTGTTTTTCGAAACCGACGACTTTTCCACGATTCGGATGTGAATTACAGTGCGAACCCGGTTATTTGGTACAAGGGGTCCAAGATCGCGCACGATAATGTCAAGAATACTAGCGAATCGCGGTTGATCGGGATCGAGATGCCGATTTTCGTCCGGCTGAAACGAGCGCGTTGCATTTCATGTCTCATGTCGCACTGAGAGTATATTTTATTGAGTCTGACCAACGCTGACCGAATCCCCTTCGAGAGCTTGTCAAAAGCGCTAAGGATCCATGTACGTCGATCAATTTGGTCCTTGACGTTTCATTTGGCGAATATAAACTGTGTCTTAATCGTGAAAATTTAAGGATGAAAGGAAAGAAAAATAGGAAAAGTGATAAACTCACTTGATCACGGAGCAGTCTGATCCTGATCGGTCCTTTTTCACTTGCCACGCGCTCTTCACTGTCACCTTACTATTGTCTCGAGAGGATCGAGTCAGTCTTCATTGATCCTCTCGTCTAACATTCGGCAACTGTTCACCACGTCTTCACAGTATCGTTATCTCGAACGATCGTCACAATAGTCCAAGACGCGAATATTAAACTTTGCGGCTTCGCGGAGTCTGAATAGTTCGTCTGATCACGCAAACTTCTTCCACTGAAAATCCGATTCGTCCGATCGGGGCACTACGCGGGTCGACGTTCACTCACCCTTGCTCATGATTGTTTACGGAAGTGACGCGCGTCCACTTGACTCTCCCGCTCTCTCTCTCTCTCTCTCTCTCTCTTTCTCCCTCGACGCGCGTTTCGCCGCGCTCGCTGCAGCTTGGCTCACACTTCTCGACACCGCTCGCGACTCACTCGCGACAACGCAACGATTCCTCGTTTACGAGGGACCGTCCCTTCATCCTCCGTACACGTTCCTCGTTCGCTCGTCACGATCGCGATCACGGACGCGTAGATCCCGGATTCGGCTGCTGTGCGAACACTTTGATGATGATGATGATGATGATGTTGTCGTCGTCGTCCGCGCGATAGAGCGGCTTATACGCCGCGGGCATCGCGGCGATCAGCCATTGCCGGAGAAGACCTCCTCTCGTCTGATCCTACCGAACATCATCTTCGTCGGGATCTCGCCACCTCCTCTCTCGGCCGATCGAGAGTCGCCGCCGCCGTCGCTTCTCGGTCAAGCGCGTCGCCGCAGTCTCCGGACGCTCGTCCGCCTCGCCGCTTCTCTCCCTCTCTTTCTCTCTTTCCC